CAATCAAGGAAATAAGTCTCAATGGGATCAGTTGCTGTGTGACACGTGGTCTGCGTGTACACTGACAAGTGACTTCTTTTAATAGATGTCATCTCGACCAGATGCAGCGGATGAGTGCGAGTTGCTGTTGCTCTTCTTCCACTTTTCGGAACAGATGCGATATTTTCCAAAGTCGAGTCTTCAGGTGCATCCATGCACGCATGCTTGCAGAACGTATCTTAACGGTGGAGCTTGGCGTAAGCGCGGTGACAGGGCAATCTTCTGTTTCAATTTGCTTTTGGTCTGACAAGTGGGAATAACATTTATTCGCAGCGATCTTGCGACCGGCACTCGTTCTCGAACTTTCCGACAACATCACAAAACATCTTCATTCCTCTTGGATATAGTTCACATCTCCTGACGCCTACATATCTCGTGAAAGACAATCTACTGCCGGGTTCGCATTCGGTGTCAGGACCGCCGCGCAGGGTATGCATTTCGAGGTGAAATCCACCGTGGAAAACAAAAAATTCCCAACGCGCATCGTACGCACTTTTCACCAATTAAGCCACACTTTACCTCCACACACGCATGTGTCCCCTGGCCTGTTCAGTATTTTGTTGCCAGGCAGGGCGTGCAATTTGAGATAGCCCTCCAGGGGCTTATCCCGGACAGGCAACTATTGCGTACTGTATGTAATACTCAACTATATGATAACACTTACAGCAATGCGCATTTCTATGTGAGATTCGTCGATTTCTTTTAGCGACACGTTTAGACAGGCATTTCTCTACCAGCAAATCGCTGATTTAGTTGGACCAAAACCATAATTCTATTAGTTTTTCTATATATAGCGATGCCCTCCATATTTGAAGGACGAGCAGTGCCCCAGCTCCCTGTTTTTATTCGTGTTTTATGTCCAACAATTTTTCATACCAGCCCGCGCCCCCTCCCTTGCGTGTACTGTAGCCTTCTGGACGGGACACGGTGCGCTGCGCTCGAACACTGCAAACAGACCGAGCCCTCTGAGCTTCCGACAACGTGAGCGGGGGCCGTGCAGCTCAGGCGTGGAACTCACGGCTACCGGCGTGACGGCATCCCCGCGATGTGAATCTGAGCAAGCTCATTCCTCACCCGCCCCGACCTCTTATAGATACTATGTATGTAGGTGTCGATGCAGTGGAACCGGCCACTCTGTACAGCATCCATACAGTCGTGCAGTACCCGAACAGTGCCGGGCACCATTCTATTTTCGCCTTCTGGCTCATGGCCTGCAGCCACGAGCGCCGCCGTCCGACTATATAAATACGCTTTGCCTGCGACTAGCGCCTCTCTCGATGTAGCGGGGGCAAGAGGGAACAAAGTCAAAGACTGACCAACGTCACTTTACTTACCCTGCGCCGAAGCGCAGAGCCTCGATCCCCTACGCGTCTCTACCCACACTATCGCTACCTGACAACGCCTTCCCTCGTCTCAGCTTGGACTGAGATCGCGCTGTCAGCCCAGACCCTCGTGAACAGCGACACGAGGATCCAATATAAGAAGCGTTCTTGTGCTATAGAGTGCAGGGTGGATTATTTTTGATCTGAAGACTGCCCACTAGTTGCCTTTTTTGTCAACCACCTTCTGAACAATGGACAACACACCAAACACAAAGTATTCCAGCATACGTCCGGGCTTCGACAGCTTTGTCGACATCGGCGGTGATGTTGACGAGTTCAACAGCGGGCGGGTTATGATGACCCGCCGCCTAGAACTGCAAGACGCTACAGAGAATAGGTTCGCTCGGATCAATATGAGACGGTCTGCTTTACAAGAGTGCAATGGCACTGTTTATGGCAGGAAACACATTGTACGCAACGACATGAGAGACCATAGCCATTCAGGACTAAACAAGAACATGATCGACGCTAATGGAAATGTCAATCCAGAGAAAATAGCCAGGCATTATCGCTCAGTGGCTGAAAATGACCAGGCGCGCATGGATCGTATGACCACAACTCTAATGAGCTTGGATATGTACGAGAACTATGTAGGCGTTATCGCATCACTCTATAGTTTGGCGTGGACTATAGAGATGTTGACGAAAGCTACGCGAACTACTGTCAGTGTACCTGTACCCCCGGAGGTGCTGAATCTACCAGCGCCCACTACTGAGGACGGGTACTGGGCGAGGGTCGCGTTGATAGTCCGAGGCCAGTTCGGCTACACTAGAGTACTCGGGGAGCAACCTCTTGGTTCTCTTACAAATGCAGGCATTATCGGCCTGAACGCCGAACCCAATAGCCGAACGATCAAGGTGGAGTGCTGGCGGGCACCTGCTTACGACGACGGGCATTGCCACATACACTACACCAGGTTTGTAGAGGCCGGCTTTCGGCAGGGCCTGTACTTATGCAATAATCAAGCACGCAGCCACCTAGTGGATGATAATGCAGCGTATGGTTGGATCGGTAACGTGCCGGTTACTACATATGAAGAGGCTGTTGCTCTGATGAGGCACAGATATCTCGTGAGGAGCGAGGGCATGGGGGCGCTAGACTATTGGGTCTTGATGACCGCTCTTTACAAGCGTCAGCGTGCCACGCCGTTCTTGTGTGATCAAGACTTCCACTGTGGTAAAGAGAACACGTCGGTGATGTTTATTGGCAAGGACGAGACTGCTGTGGTGCGAACTGCCCTCCGAGACTTCCAGAAAGGCAAAGATGCTAGTTCGTTACGAGTTACGTTCGATGACGTGATGCATGTGCTTGATAGGTTCGTGGAAACGCATCGTTGTTACGACGACGCCATGACAGCACGCCTGTTGTTTGACAACTATGTGGCACAGCCTCTGCCCAACACGGTCCAGTCTCACGTCTACTTCAACGTAGAGTGGGTTACGAACATGCCTATAGTAGGTATGAGACGTGCAGCAGTAGCTTTGCTGCTGTGCGAACTACCCATTCTAATTCAGCCACAGTCTTTGGCTGAGATGCAGAAACTCAAAGGTTTAAACAGGTCACAACTCTCAGTGTCACTTGCGGTGAATACTATTTGGTATTGGGGGGAGTACCTTTCCGCCGTAATGGACTCTGCTCGGGACAAAACCGCCAGTGATTTACGCGAGGGGAAAGGGCACTCCGCTCACATACGGACTCGGCAGTCCTCTGTAATCTCGGCAATGGTTGGTAGAGACCAGCCCGTGCCTATATTCCAGAGTGTAGGTACGCAATTCAAGTGGGCCAGTGAGAATTGCTTTGGTGCAAGCGCGCTCCCAGTAGATGAGCCTGACCGCGGTCGTGAGACAGCGATGGTGGCGAAGCTCGAAGAACGGGGCACTGGTCAGCACGTGCTGCACTACACTTTTACGGTGCCGCCGGCAAGCATCGCCATGATCGTCGGGTTGGGCGGCATCCTTACTGTTAACACCCCACTTAGTCCTGCTTTCTTGATAGAAAAGCCACACAGGGGGGGAAGTTTCAACTGGCAGGCATCACCCAGTAAGCATGTGAAGGTGTGGGCGTCGGGACTTGTGGCACGGTGGAATGGTTACGATTATATGTACACAATGGGTGGTCGGGACCGGAATAACAGCCTCGTGATGTGGGCACCCTACAGTGATAATCTAGCACCACCACCGGCGTTCAAGAATGAAGTGACTATGTTTAACAGTCCCACGTGGTGCAATACTGTAGAGAGGGATCATGTGTTCGGCGATGATCCGTATTCCTTTATGGACGGAGGAATGAAACGGCAGTTCATTTGGCGTACATCGCCAGCAAATCTGCACACTAGGTACGACCGTCGATCTGTCACTGCGGTCGGTCTCAGTACTACGAACAACGATAATCCATTTTTCAGGTAAAATTTTCAATGAGCGGGCGGACACGGTGATTTTCTTTAACACACAGGGGGGCTAATCCCCTAATCCCGTAAACCCCTAATCCCCCCAAACCCCCCTACTGGCAACATTTAGTCTACTGGCAACATTTAGCCTTATTATTATCACTCTAGTGCAGTATGAGAAAATTTCTGACTTTTACAGTATTTGATGACGTATTTCATGTTTTACGACAAAACGTCGCAGACGTGTACAGGTACTGTACTGCATAGTCGTTCACTGTAATGACAGTTGCAATGAACAGCATACAGCGGTGCCCTGAAATGTTAGTATCTCCGTAGGGGCAGGGCAATACGTAGTGATCTGTGGTTGGAGGAGAGGCATGGCGTGTGTTGTACCGAACAACCAACTGGCGCAATCTTCGTAATCTCGTAGGGCGTGCTCCGTCGCCACTGGTACAAGCAAGGTGCAAGGAGCCGAGCAGGCTGGCGGTTGTGGAGAAAGCGAAGAGGCGTGCGAAGCGCGCCACCGTGCACCACGCTGCGCGGTGGTGCGCCTTACACGGCAAGCGGGCGGGCCATGTCCCATGAGGGCGCGGCGTCCAATCGGGGCGTTTCCGGGCGTTTCCGGGCGTTTCCGGGCGTTTCCGGGCGAGCGGGCGAGCCTGGCCGCTTGACCTCCGTGCTGTCGAGCGCCTGTGCCGCGGGCGCAGGGGCGCGGCGATCACTCTGGATGCCTCGCGATGCCTCTCCCTGTCTCTAGAAAAGTCTACGTGTACGTGCACACGCGCCAAAAAACAACAAAAAAATACCCCCGCACCTTCAACAACAAAAAAAACACCCCCTCATTGTCGCGCAGCCGCGCGGGGAGCATGCCTTCTCCACCGTCGGACACACACACCTGGATCCTTCAACTTGGCCTGCCCGCGCGACACGCCAAGCACATGTCTAGACTTTTCGCGCCGCGTCCATCCCGTTTCCGTTCTGGAACCGCGACACGGGGTGCTACAGCAGTCAGCCCTGAGAGGCGAGGCGCCCCGCCAGCACAGACTCTATATAAACGCACCATGCACCGATCACCCCCTCTCTCCCTCACCTCACCCACATCCACCACACCCTCCGGACACACTCCACGACAAGTACCCACCCGCGCCTACACAATACTACAACTCCGCACCCCAACTCCTCACCCCAGCTCCTCACACCCCCGACGCCCGCGCCATGTCGATCCTCACGCCGTACAACCGCCACAGCTTCTTCCCGTGGGGCAACTCGTTCGGCAACGACCTGCGCACGATGCGCCGCATGCTGGACATGACAGAGTCGGGCCCGCGCTCGACTCACACGGTCGAGCCGTCGTACCGCTACGAGGCGGACAGCGCGGCCGCACACTTCGAGATTGAGATCCCGGGCGTGTCCAAGGACAACCTCTCCGTCGAGGTCCACGAAAACAAGCTCACCGTCCGTGGCAAGCGCTTCTGCCGCCCCCTCATCGAGAAGAAGGACAACTCCGCCGTCGCCAAGGACCCGGCTCAGAACGGAGACCCCGACCAAGCTGACAAGGACCCCGCCCCTAGCATCGTCTACCACCTCGAGGCAAGGCTCCCCCAGCGCGCAAACGTCGACGCCATCAAGGCAGACCACATCGGCGACGGCATCCTCAACATGACCATCCCTATGGTCGATGACAAGGGCCCCCGCAAGGTTCAGATCGAGTTCTAGCTTGCTGCCCCCGCGCTTTACAAGTCCTCACTTGTGCCTTTTGCACGCCGTCCGCCCCTACCCCCTCGATACTTTTAGCATGTTAGCCACACCATAAAGGATTCCACGCGGAACAAGGCCTCGCATTACACTTAGTCAGCTTTGAAAAACAAAGTATTCTCTGTATGTTCAGACCTCTGTGCCTTCATTTCTCCGTTCGTTCAAAAGGCGCACATCACACACACACACACACACACACACACACACACACACACGCACAAGTGCCTCGCCACTGACAGGTTCGGTAAATCGAAACTACATAGGGCCGCGGGCGCAGGTACGAAAACAGCTTTGTGATATCATGTGTTCGGCGATGATCCGTATTCCTTTATGGACGGAGGAATGAAACGGGAGTTCATTTGGCGTGCATCGCCAGCCAAGCTGCACACCGGTTACAACCGCCAATCTCTCCCTGCGGTCTGTCTCAATACTTGGAGAAACCAATCTTCAATATTCGAGTCACGTTTTCAATGAGCGGGGGGACAAGGTGCTTTTCTTAACACACAGGGGGGCTAATACGCTAATCCCCCCAATCGCCTAAATCCCCCTACAGAGAGTATCTCCTCAACAGTGCAGTTGTGAGTAGTGCAAACCGGCAATAGTGCAGGTCAAAACCGCGTGACACGACTTTGGACACGTGTATGCATCTTAGAAAAGCAAGGCGTGCATTGCTGCAAGCATATCACGCTCAATAAACCATCAATTGCGACGGGTTTTTTAAAATAAAACCACGTTGTAAAAGTGATTTGCGAGATCCTCCCCTTGAGTATTGCAATACGCCAATAGTGCAGTATTCTACCGCGTGGCACGGTGTTGCACTATTGAGCGGTATGGACTGTACTGGCAACATTTAGCCTTATTGCTATCACTGTTATGAGAAAATTTCTGACTTGTCGTACAGTATTTGATGACGTTTCATGCTTTACGACAAAACGTCGCAGACGTGTACAGATACAGCACTGTCCCGTTCCTCACTGTAATGACACTTGCAGTGCGCTGCATACAGCAGTGCCCTGAAATGTTGGGATCTCCGTAGGGGCAATAGTGATCTGTGGTTGGAGGAGACGCAATCCCCGTAATCTCGTAGGGCGTGCTCCGTCGCCACTGGTACTGTGCAGTGTCCATGCGTATTTCCTCAGTATTGGTGCCTCGTCAGCATCCGTCGTGGCAATGGGACATAAGTGCTTCGACAAACGCGGCAGTGGCGAAGGAGAGCGTCCTTTTCAATCACTCTCCCAATGCAACGCTCTCACATACGAGAGACCGATAATGCGAATCGACGCCAGCTGTCGCTGTCAATTATGCCATGCGCTCTCAACTTTCCGGGACTCAGCACATCGCAAGTGCAGACACGAAACAGCCCACACGCCCCCTCTCAAACCATTTTTGCGATCTCTCTACCGACACTGCACGGAGTGCAATATTGTTGGCAATGAACTACCGCCGATAAGTACAAGCTACCCCTCTACGCTACCCCGTCCACCGGGCCCATTCCTTGGAGCCGTCATCCACTTGCTTTGGAATTTTTTGCACTTCACTCCGCCTCGCTTACTCTCGCCGTTGTCTCCCACTTCTGTCTCATTGCAGTTTAAAACCACGGGCTGCATTCCCCCTCCATTCCGCCTTTCCTTTCCCCTAGCCCTCTCCCCCCAAAAAACATTTGTCTTCTTCGCCTCACGCTCTTCTCACTCGCGCTTTTTCGCGCTGTGCCCAACGCCTTGAGTCTCCCCGCCATTGTCCGCCACAACCTCAACCACTCGTGAGCTCCGCTTGTTTCGCTTTGTGCTCACGCTTGCTTGCTTTTGCGCTTTGTGCAGATCGTCACCCAACCCGAGCAAGAACTTGTTTCCCGCACCAAAAGTCCTGTACGGAATGACTCGTGGGCGCAACTATGCCAACGCGTCCATGGACTTTGATGTCTCCTCTGCTGCTCGCTCGCTCGCCTACCTCTCCGAAGTCTCTCCTCTGCTTGTGGAGGGGCAAGGCGGCACTGTTACTGTCAAGGATGCGCTGCCGAAGGTCAGGCTGGGTTTTCTGTCGAAAATCTACGGCCTGCTGTCCTTGCAATTCCTTATTTCAACCTGTATGTGCATGTTGTTCATGCACTATGAACCGATCCGAGCGTTTGTCGAAAGGTTCTACCCTTTTGCTATCATCACATCAGCCATCGCCTCCTTTGTCTCGCTGGTATACCTGCTGTTGAACTTTTGGGTTTCTGTCAATAATGCACTGCTCATGTTTACTTTTACGTTTTGTCAGAGTACCCTGTTTGGAAGCATCTGCGTTGTGTATGTGGATAATGGCCTTGGATTCCTTATCACTGAGTCCCTGGCAACCTCTTTGATTGTTTTTACTGGCTTTACTCTATATACATCATTGAGCCATTGGGAATTTTCTTACTCGGCAGCCGCAGCCTACGCCCTCCTGGTTTTCGCTACCATGTGCTCTATCGCCAATGGTACCATAGAGTACACCGGCAAAGGCTCCCCTTTTATTGCTACTGCCTTCATTTTCACAACCAGCACACTGTTTAATTTATTTATTCTATACGACAGTAAGTTTTGCGCCCCCGTTTCCGCCTTTTTCCTCTCCTCCCTCTGCGTCTTATAGTTAGACGTTCCGTTGAAGCACTTCTCTCGCCGAAGCACGTGCTAACGGTTCAGTCATCTACGGTACCATTTCCTTGCTCTTCTCTCCCATACAGCTTATATAATTATTGAAGAGCTTGGACCCGATGACGTAGTCCCTGCTGCAGTAATGCTTTACACAGACCTCCTGAGCTTGTTTTTGCAAGTTTTGGCTGGGTTGAGCGAAAACCCGGACAGATAACTGGGAATCTTCTATCCATCCATGCACAGATTGTAGATGAATAAAACTAGAAGATACTAACTGAACATCGAGTTGTCATTGCATTGCTTCTATCCATTTTGCCAGCGGACAATTAATGCGAGTCCCTGAGATGATTGAACGTAGCAAAACAGTATGGGTCGCTATCGAACGGGAGATTCTTTCTCCGTTCAGCAAAAAATTGGACTATAAGGGATGGAAGTTTGCGCAAAGGCATACCGGCATTAGAAATACGATGGCAATTTTTGTTCAGTTAGTCTTCTCCAGTTATTTACGTCTGTCCGATTGAGGACTGTGGTCTTCTTTCTTGGTCATCCTCCTCCTCATTGGGCCCCTCGATGGTGTCCTCTTCTCTCTCATCATCCTCTTCCTCTCCGTCCCCCTCAGCATCAACTAAGCTCCACTTTATTGCTTCTGAGAGGAGACTTGCTGCATTCACAGCTGAAATGGCATCCATCTCGGGGTGTTTAGCACACTTGTCTGTCGCTGCTGCATATATGAACCGATTTCCAAGCACGATGTTCGGAAAACAATCGTCGACATCTTTATCCGTCGGGATGGGGTTGTGCTTGTACATGCTCTTCGGAACAGCTTCAAAATGCTTCAAATCCGCACCTTCTTCAAACATCTCTTCAAACAAGCCTCCTGACTGGAAATCGGCCCCGCATAGAACTGTGTATACCCCAGGACTCTCGTTTGACGATTCACGAATGCGCTCGAATCGCGACACTCCAGGCGCGTGTGTAATTTGAACGAGGTCTGGAATGTTCTTCTCAGAGTTGAATCGGAAGAAGCCAGGTTTTGCACTGCCGACAACAACGGCAAGGTGCGAGCAAGAAACCGGCGATACTGCAGCTTCAACTTGGGTATCGCCCTCGGTACTCTGGGACGCGACATACTCGGCCTCCTGAGAGGCGTGCCCATCGGCAGCCTCAGTGTCTCTATCGTAACCGAGCAGCTCGGAAATGGTGGTTCCAAGCGGCGTTTCAATGGTCATTTCACCCTCACGTGGAGAAGCGCACAGAACGACGCCCTCGAAAAGTTCCGACTCACCATCGCCATAGACGACCTTGTAATTCTTGCTCTCCTCGTCGTACAAAATATCGGTCACCTGCGTGTCAAGCTTGACATTCACCTCCATGGTGGAACGAGCAGCGTCGACAAGTGCGGTGCAAAGCGAGGCATTCTCCGGGGTGACAACCTGAAGCCTCTCGGCGGCGTCTGAGTTGGAAAAGTCCGCGTCCAGCATGGCAAAATGACTCGCAAGGGAACTGATCTCACTGAGTTTAGCCCCCCCATACTGCCAGCCCACAACCGGGGCGAGGAAGCGCTGCACAAAGTCGGTATTATATTTGAATATCCTAGTGTAGTCCTCCCCCGAGCCGCGTATGTACGCTTCGATGCCCGCCCGCTTGACCAAGGTACTGACCGAGGCTGAACATGTTGCGACATTCTTTGTATTCATATCACGGAGCAGTTTGACAAAACCGATGGTACTACCCCTAGAAATGGCCGGGGTGATACCATATTTCCACAGGGTCGGGAGCGTGGTCCCCCAGAAAGAATAGTTCCTCTGCCAGGACCGGACGATGTCTTTCGGAGAGAACAAGAACACTGTGAGCAAAACAAGGCATTGTGCCAGCATCACGGCCCTGGGAACTGTGCCGCGGGTCTGGTCGAGCTTGGTGACGCTCCACAGCAGGGCGGCGAGGGTGATGCTGCGCCATATGGCGTTGTGCAGGAAGCGGTACAGTAGGTCGAGCACCGACCAGCCCTTGTGGTGGAAGTGGTATGCGTCATCGCGCCAGTCCCACGCGGCGAAAGAGCGGATGAGACGGGCGTGCGTGCCGCGGTCCCACGGACGGCGGAGGATGACGGAGCGCGCGCGGCCGCGGCGTGCCGCGACGGCGCCGGGGATGGCGAAGACACGGCCGAGGACGGAGACGGTGCCGCGCTCGTCGTTCGCGGCGGCGACGAGGTCGGAGAGGAAGGAGGCGGCCGGCAGCGGGAGCGAGCGGTAGCGGCCCACCTCGACGCGCAGCGACGGGTCGATGCGGACCGAGCGAAAGGAGTGGCCGCCGAGCGAGGGCAGGCGGTCGAAGAGCGTGACGGCGTGCGTGGAGGAAGAGGCGAAGACGCGCTTGTCGTGCTCCTCGACGAGGGCTAGGTCGAGCGTGGTGGCACAGCCGAGCAGATTGCCGCCGATTACAGCGATCTTCATGGTGCGGGATGGGGAAGGGGAGGATGGGAGGGGAACGGGAATGGGAATGACGTGCAGGTGACGTCGAGGTTTTGATGCTGCACAGTGTGCGCGTACTCTATGCGGTGTATGATGACGCAGGCAAGTGATGCGGAAGGGCCGAATCTTTTGGATATTTTTTACAGCACACCGGCCAATCGCAGGCGCCGTATCTCCGCATTTTGGCCTCGCCGCACCTTCGCCGGTTTCCACAGAGTAGATAGCCGGTCGCCATTGCAGACTTGCGCACACGTTACAAGCCATCGGGCGACGGCACCTTTACTTCCAATCCATAACGCTTACAAACACATAATACAAGCAGTTACAACAGCCGTCCTTCCCACCCCTCCACCTCCATACCATACAAAACAAATAGCATGTACAAACCCTCCTCACTGACTGTGCATAGCATCGACAAGCATATCCGTCAGCAGCCCGGAGATCCCCCACAGTCCCACAAACCCTGCGCACCGAATCGGCCTCTTCAGGCTCACAGCCCTGTCAATCTTCCACATCCACGCCGTCGTGTTCCCTCCCCTCTGGACGCGCACCGCGTCCGACACGTGAATGAGCCCGACCATAGCGCCTCTAGGCAGTTTCCCGAGCTCAGTACCGGACTCTCCCCCGCCTTCGTGCACGTGTCTGAGCACGTCAGCCGCGGCTGCGGTGTCGGCCCTCGCGACGCCGCTGTCCAAATCGAGCGCGCGGCGACCTGCATGGACGCCGACCCAGGCGCCGTCGTACTGGGGCGGGCGCTCGCCGGACCAGGGCGGGAACGGGCGCGACTCAAACGTGCGCGCGCCGGCGACGAGCAGGCTGGCGACGGGCTGCGGGGCGGTGACTGCGCGCAGCGTGCAGCGGTCGAAGAGCGTGCGCTTGAGGAAGCGGGCCCACTCGTTGCCGGAGCGCGCGGCCAGCGACTCGGCCGCGTGCCCCGGGCGGTCGCCGACCGCGAGACGGCCGGCCGGC